ACAAAAAACTAGAAAGAAAAAGAATACATAAAAAAAGATACAAATGGACATCTGAAGAAATCAAAAATAGTAAATTTAATAAAAAGATAGTGCATGCATTAAATCAAGTTAGCATGCAGCAGATAAACTCCAATGATATTGATGATTTGAATAACCTTATTACCGAAACAGTGAATAAAAGCCTTCTGCAACTGAAAAAAACGAAAAACAACATGCAATGAATTAGACAAAGAAATATTACAACAAATAGAAAGAAGGAAGATCTTAAATAAATCTAACAAAAGGGGAACCGACGAATATAGAGAACTTAATAGGCAGATTAGAAAAGGAATCAGACAACAAAAAAGAAAAGAAAACGAAAAATTAATAACAACAACTATTGAAAAAAATAAGAGTATGAAATGTCTCAGACCGACACTAGGACGACGTCAGATGATATCATTAATAGGAAAAGACGAAAATGAAATCACAAGTAGAGAAAACATACTGACACGAATAGAAGAATTTTACACAGAACTTTACAGATCACATCAACAAGATGATGAGATGAGACCAGCACGGAAATTAATAAAAAATGTTGGATCAGAAATAATGCCAAAAGTAACAATTTCAGAGGTAACTACAGCATTGGAAAACATGAAGAGAAATAAAGCTGCAGGAGAAGATAGTATTACCACAGATATGATATTAGAAGGAGGTAAGGAACTAATTGCAATTGTAACTAAGCTTGTAGACAGTTGTTTACATCAGGGCAAAGTCCCTAAGAGCTGGAACAACTTTAAAGTAATCTTATTGCACAAGAAAGGTGATAGTCGAAAATTGGAAAACTACAGACCCATCAGCCTACTGTCACACCTGTTTAAAATACTCACCAAAGTCATAACTATTCGACTAACAAGGAAATTAGACGAATACCAACCATATGAACAGGCAGGTTTTAGAAAAGGCTATTCAACTTCCGATCACCTGTTAACCACAAAAATATTAATAGAAAAATGTAACGAATACAAGTTTCCAGTTTTCCTTGCATTTGTAGACTACGAAAAAGCTTTCGATACCATAGAACACACGGCCGTAATAAACGCAATGCAAAATTGTAGAATAGACAGCAGATATATTAACTTAATAAAAGAAACTATGAACCAAGCTACAGCTATATACTACCTAAATGAAAATGAACACACGAACCCTGTACCATTAAACAGGGGAGTCAAACAGGGAGATACTTTATCACCCAAACTGTTCACCTTAGTTTTGGAGGACGTTTTTAAAAACCTAAATTGGAAATATAAGGGAATAAATATCAATGGCCGCTACCTCAGTAATCTACGATTTGCAGATGACATAATCCTGATAGCTACTGACTTACAAGAAATGCAAACCATGCTTGTAGAACTTCATACCGAATCTGCTAAAATAGGACTGAAAATGAATTTAAACAAAACAAAAGTCATGCACTCCGAAGACACCGTGACAATAATAAACGATAAAGTTATAGAAAAAGTTGAAGAATATGTATACTTGGGACAAAAATAATCCTAAATAGGGAAATTCAGACTGAAGAAATAAAAAGAAAAAGAAAGTTAGCTTGGGCAGCATTCGGTAAACTGAACTATATACTCAGAAATCAACAAATTCAATTACATCTTAGATCTAAAGTTTTTGATGCGTGCATTATTCCGATATTAACTTATGCTTCACAAACATGGACAATCACAAAAAAGAATATGAATATACTTAGAGTCACTCAACACGCGATGGAAAGAGCACTGCTAGGTATATCACTTAAGGACAAGAAAACAAACACATGGATAAGGCAGAAAACCAAAGTCACCGATGTGGTGCAAAAAGCATTAAAGCTGAAATGGGAATACGCTGGACATGTAGCTAGGAGCGATCTAAACTAATGGCACAGATCACTTTTAACCTGGAGACCATACCAACACAAAAGACCCAGAGGCAGACCTCCTATGAGATGGACAGATGATCTGAAAAGGACTGCCGGGAAAAATTGGCTACAAGTAGCGTACAATAAAAACTAATGGAAAGGAAGACTTGAAGAGGCTTATGTTCAGATGTGGACGTAAATGGCTAGACGAAGAAGAAGAAGAAGAACACTAATTTAATTGATCACATTATTTAATTAATTAATTCACTAATTTATGCAGAGTCATACAATTCAATTACTATTAAAAATTCTCAGGGTGCCTTTTTTTGTTAATTATTACTTTAATCAGTTTACTTTATATATCTCTTCTAGTGGGTTCAGTATCTCCTAGTTGCTCATAATCGGGATAGAACAGGAAACGGAACTAACATTAAAACAACATAAATATGCACACAAATTATTATTTATTTTCAATAAGCAATACGATGAATATTAATAAATAACTTTTGTGGGCAATTATCTTTCCCAACAAACTCCTATACTCTAAATTTAATTTTAATTACAAACTATCTATTGATCTGTTTTATAATAATATCTACTAAAAAACAATGACCATATAAAAATATAATTTATTCACAAAAAAAAATAACTCTTTGAAACTTGGAATCTTAGTTCGTATGCTTATATTTGATTTTATCTTTAGAATATCTTAAAATTTTCTTTCATTCAAATTATTTGACTGACCTTTATTTTTACACCAATGATGTCTCCTCTCGATCAAACCACAGTTCCTTCCTTGATTGATTATGTCCGGCTACCATCAAATCTTTCCCGTTCTCAGCATCGATCCAAACCGCATACCAGCAAACTACTCCTCCGAAAACACAAGCCCAAGCCTCTTTTGACCGGTACTCTTTATTCACAAATTCTCCTTTCTTTCTCAATTATATCTCGTGGACTATGCAGACTCAAAAGAGGTATTAATCTTCTCGATTTTGATCTGCTCTCAGCTTCCACCTTTTTCACTAACAAACGAAAACACTGGTACTCAGATTGACTACACGAAAACACGTCTTCTCTTCTGGTCTGCCGGTAACATAATAATCTTTCAATCTCTCCCAGACAACCTTCTCAACTCTCTCATTCCCACCATTCTTTTTTAACCAATCATAAGCATTCATCTTTCCCACTTATTTTCGATTTAGAAAATTTCCAACATGATATTTAAAACAAATAAACTACTTTCACTCAAATTACTTTTCAGAAACCATTAACAATTTTGCCTTTTTCAACAGAAATAAGTTTCCAAATTCTTGTTATCTCTTATCTAAATCTAATTCTTATTTACTTTCGAAAAATGCCCACCGCAAAATACAATTACAAGTTTATTCCTAAATCTATAATTATACGGGTTCCATTGTCCTTTCACTATTCACTCAGTCTTTCACGGAAAAACTCGTTAGGGTCCCGTCACGGAACAATGTTTTCTCTTATTCTAACTATTACAAATAAGTACAGGGTTGTATTTTAACTTATATGCCCGCGGTATATTAAAATAATAAAAAACTCTTTATTCTATTTCTGATCGATAAACTGATCCATAACTATATATATATATATATATATATAATATATATAATATATATATTACTTTTCTTTAACCTAGGCAGATCACCAAAATACTTTTTTTTTACTTTAGAAAACACGAACTGACAAAAAGTGAAAATATTTACTTACGCAGGTGGAACTTAAATTAATTTAAACTGTCGTGTGCCTCTCTGCCAGCTGCGTCGCGTGTTCAACACTGTCGGCGATTACTTGTTGGTATGTAAGGTTCCTGCTCACCAATGGAAAACCTAGTCGGTCGCGTGATAAGTGAGGGAGAAACAGTGTCTCACTGTTGGGCTGGCTCCAGGCTGGCTCCCCTACTACTAGGTTCCCTTTAAATCTGACAAAGAAATGAAAAATGAGTGCCGTGGTTCGTATGAAATATATACCTGCAAAACTAAAAGTCCAGCATTTGTAATGTGGTATGATAATAAGTCAGTGACTCTATCAAGCACGTTTGTTGTTGATAGCCTGTGGGTAAAAAAAAAGGCATGACAAGTAAAGAAAAGCAAAAGTAGATGTGCCGACTATCAAGCAGTAAAACTCACATATGCGACTGGTTGATCTGACCTATTTGATGATTGCTCTATACAGGACTGCGTTTCGTATACACAGATCGTATATGGGTATATTTTTCCACATTATTGACCTATGTGTGATAAATGCCTGGGTGCTGTATCGTAGGTATCATGCCTTGGACAGTAAAAGCTCAAAGTATATGAGCCTAAAAAGATTTAGAAAATCGATTGCTTATTGACTGCTAAAAAAGGGGCGAATAGTGCAAACTAAAAGAAAATTATCTAAAGTACCTTTGTAAAGAAGAATAATTTACAAAATACGTCAGTAGATAACGAATCGTGCTATGATGGAATAGACCACTTTCCTCAGCCAATGTCTGCGTGAATGAGGGCAAAATGGTTTTGTCGTGCACTACTTCCTTTCAGTACATGAAGTGTGAAGGTAGACGAGTTTGTCTAACTGACAAATGAAACTGTTTTTACGCCTATCATCACAAATAAGTAGGCACCTAGATTGTAAGGTTTTTGTTTTGATTTGGATTTTAAGAATTTTATTCAGAATATATAAGAATTATTTTTGTACTCTATTTTAAAATTACAACCTTTTTTTTAATTTGTAAAAAAACTCATTATTCTGTTTTCTTATGTGAACATTTTTTTTTTAAGAAATCGTTTAGAACCTTAGAAAATGCATGAATCCTCAGTGATAACCAGGTTTGTGGTATTCTTGGCAATGTGACAAATTTGTAACAAATTCAAATTTGATACTTAGCAATAAATTAAAATTAAATATCTCTTTTATAACTTTATAAATAATTCTAAAAGGGCATTATTATAAAGAAAACACAATTTTTAAATTTCTATTTAGGTTTGCCAAAAAAGGTTTAATCTTATAAATTGTGGTCTTTATAGTCTTAACATATGTAGGTTAACCTATCTTCAAGAAACATGATTGAAAAAATACTTATTGCAAATATATGTTTCAGGAGCTTGTACCAGTAATAGTTAGTGCAGTTCCTCGAGTATCAGCTATGCAATTGTTTCATTATTTGCAAATTGTTAAGAAAGGTAAATTATATTTAAAAGCTATTTATATGAAAATCATGAATGTGTTGCTTGTGTGAGTCCATTTCAAATAGGTAAAGAAATAATAAATAAGACTTACTCACAATCAATTTAATTTAACTATCAGACGACCGGTTTCGCTTTCTACAATATGCAAAGCATCTTCAGGTCTCGATACAAAGTTAAACAAATGCTGAAATGATAAAAACCCATATTAGGGTGTTGTCTAATAAAGATAAACAAATTAGATGTTATAAATTACAATAATTATGCCAATATTACATGTCTGTGGTTTTATTTAAATGATTGAGTTGAATAAAAGGTATAAAAATTTTTTAAAAAGGTTAAACAGACAAGGTAAGGCCCACAAATTGTTATAAAATCTCTTCTATTGTAATAAATTAATAAATGAGCAAATAAATAAATAAAATAAAAATTACTTACATGCCGGTACTCTATTAATAGATGGATGGTAGAACATGTTTGAAACTACTTTATATTGTTGAATGGAGAACTCAATACTATTATTGCAGTTGTTTGACAGTAAACGGGAAGTTCTTGAGGAGATAGATTTGATCCAATGAATTTGAGATATGTGTGAGATTGTTTGTTAAATGTAAGTGGTGTAATATACTATTGTGTTATTAAAAGTTATTTATACTTATTCCAGAGATATATTTTTGAAATGTGTGTTATTTATTGAGTAATTGTTTTATGAAGGTGACATTTTATGACAATGAATAAGTGTAGATGTAAAAATTGTGTGGGTGTGCAATTATTTTCAAACTTGTAGTTATCAAATTACTTTGATAAAGTTCTATTGGCAATGAGTTAATTATTGGAATAGTCAAGTGAATAAAATGGTAAAATACAAACACTTAAGGATAATTTAAACACACTAAAACAGAAAACACTTAGAAGGGACGAAACAAACATTGAATTTAAAAGGGGAAGGACTTTAATGCACTACATCATAGTCTTGGGCACAATGAGTTTTTTTATTGTTGTATCTATTAGATTTTAGTGGTAAATTTTGACAGATGTAGGTTAGCATGTGACAGTTCTTCTTCTGTTTCTCAATACTGTAAGTTAAGTTATCTAGTTTCATAAATATGCTGTTATTAATGAATGTCTATAAAACTGTTTCAATTTAGATATATCAAAAGTAAATTGATGTGTTTAATATTGGCATACTTTAACAATCTTTAATTAATCAAATTTAATGTAAAAATATGGTTAATTGAAATACATCCTACAATATAACTAACTCAGTCTAATGTTTAACTTACTGAACCAATTAAAGTAAATTCTTTGGCAACTGAACATGTACATTTAATAATCAAATGTATGATAAAATTGCAAAGTTTTTTATTTTTTATTTGAAATTGATGTAGGTATGAGTTATCTGTCCGGGTATTTTTTAATTATTAGAGATATTTTTTCAAAATCTGATATATTAATATCTAATATACTAATATGTAACCAAAGCAACAAATGGATAATTATTGTTGGTAATTAATTTGTACTAACTTATACACTCAGTTGAGCTGCCATACCTGCAATGCATGTTACAATCGGTAGAACCTTTAGATCCTTCAACATTAGACTAAGAGAACATCTTAGATATATAGAACGCCCAACATCCGGTCAATCACATTTCTCCCAACATATCCATCGAACAAACCACATCTTTGATCCACAAACAGACTTCACAATCCTTCATACTTGTAATAAAGGCTCCTTATTAAATAACCTAGAACATTTAGAAATTCTAAAATCATTAAAAAATCATACAGAAGTTACACTAAATGCACAATTAGAACTGGAATACACACCAGTATACTCAGTATTAATATAAAAAAAATTATATACATATCATTACCTGATACCACTCCATTTCTTGTTCCCACAGCAAACTTATAGAATTGTTGCCACAAACTTCAACTTTCATATTAGTTTTCCATATATTATCCTAATCATTACATATTTTTCAGAAGTAACTTCAATATTATGGTCAAACAACATTTATTTCAGAATTCCATATATAATAAGATGCATTTGATACACCTCTTAGATCAATCCAATCTTCTATTTCAAAATAAAAGTCAGGCCACTTGGATCTAGTTCTTGGTTCATAGAATTTCTTTAACATTTTAACATACTACCGAAACAATTTTCCTAAAACTACATTAAATATCAGTATTGAACTGGTATGGTACCTCAACTTATTTAACCCACAATTATTATTACATTCCATCTGGTTCCGAAATATACTCATCTTACAAAAAAATTGATTTCAAACTCAACACGTGTTTTGATTATCATCAAAAATAACATGTTAATCGTTCAGACTAGCTGTATTAATTGAATACATCTTTACTAATTACAATTATACACAAATTTACATTTCAAATAGAAATATTAATTTTCACAAACAGCTATTAATTGAAAAAAATTTTAAAGTGTTACTTAAAACAATTGTACAAACTCACCATTGTCCATGTAGGTGTGAGGAATATCTGTTCATATGACACCGAAAATTGAAATAAGAATAAATTTACCTTATACCGGTTTAAATAGACGATCATTCTACCTGTTCGTATAACAATTTCCGGTTCCAACTGTCGGATATTAGAACTACCAACTAATTATTGAAGGCTTTATAATTCAGTCAATTTCTTGAGCCCACAAATTAATTACCAACAATAATTATCCATTTGTTGCTTTGGTTACATATTAGTATATTAGATATTAATATATCAGATTTTGAAAAAATATCTCTAATAATTAAAAAATACCCGGACAGATAACTCATACCTACATCAATTTCAAATAAAAAATAAAAAACTTTGCAAACTTATTATACATTTGATTATTAAATGTACATGTTCAGTTGCCAAAGAATTTACTTTAATTGGTTCAGTAAGTTAAACATTAGACTGAGTTAGTTATATTGTAGGATGTATTTCAATTAACCATATTTTTACATTAAATTTGATTAATTAAAGATTGTTAAAGTATGCCAATATTAAACACATCAATTTACTTTTGATATATCTAAATTGAAACAGTTTTATAGACATTCATTAATAACAGCATATTTTATGAAACTAGATAACTTAACTTACAGTATTGAGAAACAGAAGAAGAACTGTCACATGCTAACCTACATCTGTCAAAATTTACCACTAAAATCTAATAGATACAACAATAAAAAAACTCATTGTGCCCAAGACTATGATGTAGTGCATTAAAGTCCTTCCCCCTTTTAAATTCAATGTTTGTTTCGTCCCTTCTAAGTGTTTTCTGTTTTAGTGTGTTTAAATTATCCTTAATGTGTTTGTATTTTACCATTTTATTCACTTGACTATTCCAATAATTAACTCATTGCCAATAGAACTTTATCAAAGTAATTTGATAACTACAAGTTTGAAAATAATTGCACACCCACACAATTTTTACATCTACACTTATTCATTGTCATAAAATGTCACCTTCATAAAACAATTACTCAATAAATAACACACATTTCAAAAATATATCTCTGGAATAAGTATAAATAACTTTTAATAACACAATAGTATATTACACCACTTACATTTAACAAACAATCTCACACATATCTCAAATTCATTGGATCAAATCTATCTCCTCAAGAACTTCCCGTTTACTGTCAAACAACTGCAATAATAGTATTGAGTTCTCCATTCAACAATATAAAGTAGTTTCAAACATGTTCTACCATCCATCTATTAATAGAGTACCGGCATGTAAGTAATTTTTATTTTATTTATTTATTTGCTCATTTATTAATTTATTACAATAGAAGAGATTTTATAACAATTTGTGGGCCTTACCTTGTCTGTTTAACCTTTTTAAAAAAATTTTATACCTTTTATTCAACTCAATCATTTAAATAAAACCACAGACATGTAATATTGGCATAATTATTGTAATTTATAACATCTAATTTGTTTATCTTTATTAGACAACACCCTAATATGGGTTTTTATCATTTCAGCATTTGTTTAACTTTGTATCGAGACCTGAAGATGCTTTGCATATTGTAGATAGCGAAACCGGTCGTCTTATAGTTAAATTAAATTGATTGTGAGTAAGTCTTATTTATTATTTCTTTACCTATTTATATGAGTAAATTTTTTATAAAAATACGAACATATATCGATGGTTAAGAGGACAAATATTGTATGTCCATTTTTGTTATAAATGAGATACAGATCTGTGGCGGTTGAGATGAAATCTTTATTGTGCTAAAATATGATATGTCCTTATAGAATGGTTTAGTAGGTATTAAAGTAGCATAAAAGACATGTCCATTAAAAACACCATAAGCTTAGTGCATAAATGTTGCATGTCCAATGCAATATTTGTGCCGCTCACAAAATTTAAAACGAAACGGCCCTTATATAGTATATAGTATGGCCAAATCCAAAAATACAATATTTGTCCACAATATTGGAAGCTCGTCAGCCTACAGTACGTGTTGCACGCGTCTGCGCAAAGGTAGCAATTAAGTATGAGAGTGGTTTAAATAGCAATCTGTGTGTTCAATTTTTTCACATGCCAAAAATCATGACAATTTTTCGATGTATCTTTAACTATCCTTCTACCACAATTTTACAATCATTACCTTAGTCCAACCCTTGATAACCCTTCCTATTCCAGTTCAACCTCCCCTCCTTTAGATATATTAATATATATATATATATATATATATATATTATATTATATATATAATATATATATAATATATATATATATATATATATAATATATATATATATATAAGCAAGGTTCCTACAGCCTCTGCCGTTTCTCGCATTTCGACCGCCATCGTTTTCTGTCCATCCATTCGTCTTCTCTGATGGCTCTATCTCTCATTATGTGCCGTACATTTTCTTCCCAGGCAACTGAAGGCCTTCCCCTTCTTCTTCTTTGTTGTGGTATGTAATTTAAAGCTTTCTTTGGCCATCTATCTTCAT